GAGTGAGTCTGCAGACGCGCCTGAATTCTCGGTAGCGTCTGACACCGCGGCAGTATTTGAACTGACGTCTTCATCCGAGTTTATGGTAGCGTCTGATTTCACGGAAGCATTTGAACTTGCGGCGACAACTGAGTTGGTAGCAGTGTTTGAACTTGCAGCAGCACCTGAGTTGCTGGCAGCGTCTGAATTCGCCACAGCATTTGAATATGTTGTAGAATATGAATTCGTAGCAACGTCTGAATTTGTAGTAGTAGAATATGAATTCTCTTTAGCATTAGAATTAGTGGAACCGTTGGAATTTTCGTTAGCATTGGACTTCGTCATAGTATAATCCGAATCCGTAGCACTCTCTGAATTTGCGGCAGAATACGAATTACCCGAATTCGTGAGAGTAGAGTATGAATTTGTGCCCACGTTATCAGAATTCGCAGCAGAGTATGAATTTGTGATAGTAGAATATGAATTCGTAACAGCCTCTGAGTCTGTGGCGGAATATGAGTCCGTGATAGTCGAGTATGAATTCGAAGCTTCCGAATTCGCGGCAGAGTATGAATTTGTGATAGTAGAATATGAATTCGTAACAGTCTCTGAATTTGCGGCAGAATACGAATTTTCTGAGTCTGTGGCGGAATATGAGTTTTCTGAATTCGTGGCAGTATATGAGTCCGTGATTGTCGAGTATGAACTCGAAGCCTCTGAATTCGCGGCAGAGTATGAATTTTCAGAATTCGTAGCAGAATACGAGTCCGTAACAGTAGAATATGAATTAGAGCCAGACTCTGATTCCGTAATAGTAGAATACGAATTAGAACCAGATTCTGATTCCGTAATAGTAGAATACGAATTAGAACCAGATTCTGAAACTGTAAGAGTAGAATATGAATTCGTGGCCGAATATGAGTCCGTAATAGTAGAATAATACGAGTCGGTAACGGTAGAGTAATATGAGTTAGTAACGGTAGAATATGAATTAGTGCCAGACTCAGCCGTAATAGTGGAATATGAATTACTGCCAGATTCTGATTCCGTGATAGTAGAATATGAGTTTGTAAAAGTAGAATAGTAGGAATCGGTAATGGTAGAATATGAATTTGAAATAGTAGAATAGGACGTATCAGTGATGGTGGAGGAATACGAGACGGTGACGGTGGAGTAGGAAATCGTGGCAGCTTCTGAAGTCGAAGCAGAATATGAATTCGTGAGGGTAGAATAATACGAATTGGTGACGGTTGAGTAGTATGAGTCCGTGACGGTGGATATGTATGAATTCGTGATAGTCTGGAAATTTGCATGTAAGTGCAAATGTTGAGTGTGATGGAGAGTAGCCCAGTACTTACGACGTAGGACATGTATGTGACTCTACAGATATGTTAGTATCGCAACTATTTTTCAAAGAGGGATCGCAAGGAATGGCGTACTACTTACGTCACGGAGCTAGCGTATTTGGGCGAAACGTTGACAGTCTACAAATCTCCTTGTCAGCACCGATACGCAGAGAAATGAAAACGTGGTTGTGTAATGCTCCTGCGAATATCATGTTCGGGTTGTATGAGTTGGTACATACTGCGACGTAAGCATCAGTATCAGCAAAGTATGGAGAAGCTCATAAGTAATCATCAAGAGCCCTAGCTTCTCTACTTACCAGAAGTATAGTGTTTAGTCATAGTCGATGTGTGAACCTTTGTTGAAGTTACAGTGACTGTTGAGGGATGACAATGTTTCCAATTATTGTTTTTATTTCGCTCTTCAGAAGGAGGAATGTCAGGCTTGACATTGAACTAATAACATCCATCAGCAACCTAGACAAGATATCAATATACATGACAAAAAAGCCTTTAGGGTAGCATTCAAAGACTCACAACATTGCCCTCACGACTTCCACCACCCAAGCCGTGCTGTCCTCTCCCAAACCCACCCCGATTTCCACCCCCGAATCCGCCCCCGAAATTTCGCCGCTCCCTGCGCACCTCGCCATCTCTTCCAAAGTGCTTTCCGAACCCAACGGCAGCATGGCCACCGCCCATTCTATTAAAGCCACCACCTCCACGGTGAGCGCTGCTTGTACTAGAGGTGGAGGTGAAGGTAGACGTAGATGTAGACGTGGCACTAGACGCAGTAGTACTAGACGCAGTCGCCGAACTGGTCGCACTACCTGTTTCGAGCGCCTGGCCGCCGCCAGCACCACGTCCTGGACCACCAAATCCGAAGAAATGGGGATGCATCATCATTCTATTGCCCCCCTCACCACCAGCACCCCCCTCTCTACCAGCAGCCGCACTGGTAGATGTTGCGTCAGTGTAAGTTGATGTCCACGTCGTTCCGGAGTCGGTGTATGTATAAGTGAAAGTGCTGTCCAACGAAAACGTTGAAGTGTGAGTCGAACCGGCTGAAGTGTAGGTCTCCGTCGATGCGGTGTAGCTACCGCCTTCCATTGGCATAAAGTTATTACCAGCTCTCTTGAATCCATGACCAAATGAACCGTGCCTCATTCCACCATTACCGCCTCCGGGCTCGGCGCGGTTCGTACTCGAACTTGTTCCGGTTTCTGTATAGGTCGAAGTGTATGTAGTGCCAGTATCTGTATACGTAGAGGTATACGTGCTGCATGACTCGGAAATTGTTGAGGTGTACGTGGTGCCAGCAGAGGTGAAAGTACTGATGCTTGCTGCACCACCCCTGTTGTTGTCATTATTGTTGTTGTTGTTTTCACCCTGTAAGAAGCCATGACCACCACCACCACCGCCGCCGCCGCCGAAGCGCATTCCGGGAAACCCGCCAAATCCTCCTCCAAACCCTCCTCCAAACCCGCCCACAGCACGCGTGGCAGGAGCTTCTATTGACGCCGACGTGGAGGTTCCAGAAGATGTCGACGTGTAGGTGCTGGAAGATGCCGACGTGTACGAGGTACTAGACCATGCCGATTCGCTGTTACCCCCGCCCCCTCCCCATGCAAAGCGTTTTCCGGCTTCAAACATGCCAAACACCGGAGTGTCGCGTCTGCGTACACTCTGCGCTTTGTGTGATGCGGCGGGCGTACCGGAAGCAGAGGGAAGCGTTGAGGGGATCGTGCCGTCGCTGGCTATCTGGCTACTGATGGTGCAATCGCCGGTTGAGCAGTCGCGAGCATGATTGATGGCGACATCCCGTCTGGGCTGTTCGTGTGAGCCATCTAGCGCAACTGCATCCACAGTTACGCTGAGGATGGGGAGCAAGCCCAGCAGGCCCCTCATGTTGCCTGTATGTCGATATGTCTTTGCTTAATCAAGATCCAGACCTCATGTGAGACACTGATTGGCGTTTGCAATAACAAGCAGTGAAGGAACTTAACTTAGCCGTGTTAACAGCGTCTTGAAAGAAGAGCAAGGGAGGACAAAACACTGAGGACGGATTATCTGCATAGAGCCCTATATACGGACCCAATGGCTTGCGGCCAAAGACATCTCCCCAAACAGAGCGCCGGCAGAGAAGAGAACATCTTTGTCGGAGGATAACTGCCCGTAAGGCCGGAGGCGAGGGAACATACGTTGACAGTTAAACTGGCCGTTTCATCCAGTCGGTGATCTGAGCGCTGAGCAGCAAAGGATACGGCTCACGGCAGTGAAGGGACGAGAGAAGCACGGTGTTTGCTAAACTCGCCAGGACGCGAATATCATAGCGCCGGCTCACATGTCGCTCGATGACGTCCGCACTGTTACTAGTAGTGGATAGAAGGCCTGTCCATCGTCTCATCGATGGTCTTGAATTCGCAGGAGACGTCAAAGCACAAGAGTCCGATACAGACTGTCCCTCTTGACGTCGAATTTCGTGATGATGTGGCCTGCAAAAAGTGAGGTTCCGAGGAAGAATCGTCACAAAGTTTAGCTATAGTGCAATAAGAAGTTTATTCCGGATGAAGCCAGTAGCTACAGCAGCAAGAAGGCGGCGACTTTGCGGAACACCCCATCCCGGTGCTGTATCTTAGAGTTTAGCTTCTATCGTCCGAGCACAGACCGGACCATTCGCAAGATTGGCCGATATTGGAAACATACCCCTGATAAGATCATGACATGCGAAAAGAAGTCGCAGATGGTTGCTGGCATCATCGATGTTGGAGATGTCATCCCTAGCATCCACATGAGTCTTCAGGGCAGCGCGATGATGACCACTTTCACAATGGGTTGCGTGAACTCGCGTGGGACTGAGCATCATCGGTGTTTTGGGTTTCGCTGCACTCAAAGCGCAACGAGCCATGGGCACCGGGTCATGTCAGGACCCAACGGTGATATTATCTTTTATCTTGCACCGGGGTGGCTGACTATTAGGCGTGCATGCGTTACGCAACTGAGCACAGCCTCCGATCTCCAGTCTTTGAAATGCGTAGATAAGCATATGGATTCCCTCTTTTCAGGTTGGGTAGGGAAACAATATGAGATGATTCAATTGACAAGGTTTGACTCGTTCCGGTTGCGCGGTATTATCGAGGACGGTGTTCATTTGAGCAAGGCCATCGTCCCCCGGTCATTCCATCTCAGCCTTGAGACGGCATAGAAGTCAAACTATGTACCCATGGCAGACCATCTGATTTGTATATCCCAAGACGTGCGAATACAGGGGGCGAAGAAGGTGTATCTACTTCAAGCCAGTTCAGAAGAGGTTTGCGGAGCTTGTAAGTTTGCGTAGCTCCTGTCGGCAGATACAAAAAATGACGGTGAACAGTGGCCTTTCTCGCCATCACTCTGGCTTCTGGTATGTTCCTATGCAAAGAGTCGCTCGCTCAGCGTACTTGAAACACGGTGTCGATAAAAAAAAGTGATATGAGAGGGACGGTCATGCGAATGCTCACATCTGTGGACTTAACAAGTCATCAATGTTTCACACAGACGCGTAACGCCTTGGTGTCGACGGGGTCAATGCGCGTCCAGCCGCAAATGGCGCTGAGCATCCCCCACATTTTGCTATATAGTTATCACTAACAAAACATTTTTTAACAATTCAGCTGATCCAATCAGAGGACTTAAATCGGTCTGGTGGTCTAGTGGTATGATTCTCGCTTAGGGTTCACCCTACAGCTTAATTGCGAGAGGTCCCGGGTTCAATCCCCGGCCAGACCCGAACCTTTAGTTTTTCAGTCGGTATTACTCTTTTTCTTTTTTTGAGCAGTGCTAGCAATGTAGAAATCTTGTGTCGCCCATCTTGCATGGAATAGTATTGGCCGAGGCCACGGGAGGGTTCTCTTATATTGTTCTACTATTTACGACTCAATTGGATACGTGCACTACTGGATAGTTCATTCAGTTTGACATGCTACTCAAAATACCATATGAACATCTGGTTTCCCTAGGTATTTGTCTCGAATCAGTAGAAAAGGGACGTCGGAGTGTATGGTGATGTGAAGCATTGGTGGTAGGGCAGAGGGTAGGGTGCGTGATTGTGGCTCGAGTGCACAGCTCGACTATGTTGTACCTGTTTGCGCTGTGCGGTTCATTTGACTGTGCAACCATGCCTGTCGCCTGGATAAGGTTGTTCCTGGGATCGGCTTACTATTTCATGGATGAGGAGAACTAAGCCCGTCACCGACTTTCCGGCTTCAGGTGGCGTTGAACTCAACAGCTCCGCCCACAGGACCTACCTTAGCTCGCTGTAGCGACAACTTACAAGGCAGCGGAGTGAGGCGACAGAGAGAGCCCGTGCTGTCAGGTTAGTCTGGTTGCACCATGGTAACTAACTACTACTACATCAGCTGTTCGCCTGCCCAATTGGCTCAGCTGTTACGGGCCAGGGCGAGAGAGATGCATCCGAATGATTGTAAAATTTGCAATTCTTATAAGCTGACCACAGCTGACGAACGAGAAGTCAATAAGCACGAGAGCGATAGCACTAGTGGTGATGGATCATTTGTTGCAGTCTGAGTAATGCATCCCGCCGTCAGAATGCGCCGTTCTCGGCAATTGAACAGCCATGGCCTCGCCGGCAAGGCGTGGCACTCAGATACCGACTATATTCCTGACGAACGTTGATCTAAGCTCGGTTACCTCATTGAAGTTAAGGAGGCTAAATCCACATCTATCCGTGGATGCGTACAGATGAGATGTGCGATGGTTGTGGTGGTGTTGTGCGCCGCTGTAATCTGTACGGATGCAGATCTCTAAAGGCTATCGAGCCCGTGCGATGGCTCGAGTCGGACGACAGCCACGCGTTACATTAAAACTTCGGATCAACAGGCCAACATGGTCCTCTGCCCGCATCCAGTCTGAGGCTGTTGCAGTACACAGATGATCGTGTTCTTGTTCTTCCCAGTAACGTGCCACCCGCTGTATCGGTCAGGTGTGATTGCAGCTTGATAACGAGCATTTGAACACCCGGCGGGAGAGTTTGTGGCTACCTGAGCCCAGACTCTGGGGTAATGTGCTGTCGCACTACCACTCGTTTGGTCACCAAGTCGTAGCAGACACCACAGCCGCTACCGCTTGTGCTCATTCTGTCGTGCGAATCGACGTCGACTTGCTACACTCTATTGGACTGATTATCTCTTGCTGCGCGACTTTGTGGCACTGTCTGATTGCCTCGTCGTCGCCATGGGATTCACAACTAGCCCGGCCAGTTGGCAGGCCGGCACGTTCACAATGCTGACGGTTACTGGTACTCCTCTGTCGATCTGCCCGCCGTGATCCGCTTCCCTGTTGCTTTCTTCCGACGAGCCACGGGGACGGGCTTGTTCTCCTGTTCCGTGCAATACAGCGTTGGCGATGAAGCGGAAACGCTTTTGACTTGAGTCACTACTATCAGTCACAAGCTGCACTGCCTCCAACAGGCATCGAGAGGCAGCTGGTCACGGCGTAAGTCATGTATCTGTCCTTATGGTTCCGGCGACACATGTTGCTGGGCGCAGTTCGCGGCCGACTTTTCATTCCAGCTGTTGCGGAGACATCCGGATATTCCGGCCATCAAGTCTGCTTGTGTAGTTGGTATGATTGGGGCCCGAAACTACGATATGTGTATGCTCACAAGGCCAATTGCTAAGCAGAAACAGCATTCCACAGAATGGCTCCCTCCCATTACGTGTAAAAGGTACGTAGTCCGAGCCTAATTCTATTTGCAATCCAAAGTTAGTAGCAATGATCAATCTAAATCCAACGCAACTCGCATTTCAATTGTCCCGGTACAGTTTATTGTGCCAAAGAAAGACATTCCGATATTGATCACCTACATGAATTAGTACCATGTCCTGCCTCTTTGGCATCAGTACAATCGATGGTAGGGAACAAGTTGTCGCCTGGCGTACAACACGGTTACACCACATGGAGGATGATACAAATCAGTTATATTGATGGCGTTGTGTACACCTTTTGAAAGATCCCGCTTCTGTGTAAGAGGCCTTTGACTGTCGAGCTGCCTCTCGCCCTTCCAGCCGAGTCGAGCAAGCGTCGGCCAGCTTGCTAGGTTCTGTTATCTGTCTGATTGTGCTGCTGCGGTGCGACAGTGGCAAATCAACCAGTCCCCCAGGCTGACAGGACCCTTGCCTCAGAAAGGGGCACGTACTATCCGTAGTAGCAATCCTTTTATTAGGTCCAAAGGCTGGGGTTGAGAAGACCCTGGATTTTTGAACAATGCTGATGTCCACCGCCGGCATCGCTCCGCCAGCTAGGCGGCGGGCTAAGATCGACGGCGGAATAAGGGGCGAGAGCATGGATCAGCTGTGCAGTTTGTTGCCTCACTTTTTCCATTTTAACTTCTTACCCAGGATTCCCGAGTCTTGCTCTCGGTCGCGTACCCCGAGCAACTCCAGCGACAAGAGAAGATGGCACGGCAGCTTGTGCCTGTAGACGGGCAAGCAGCAAGACTTGAGCCTTTCCCAACTTCACACATGGTCCTGCAGGCTGCTCCATACTCACGCGGTGCGGCAGCGAGGCGGACAGGCCACTGAGGTCGCCGATAAGTGCGGTGAGTGAGCCGTGCTCTGTGCTGCATGCAGGCGAATGCAGCTCGCACCTTTTCGCCCAGGGCCTTGGACCCTTGAACGTCCAAGAGCGCCGGCTTACCTGTACTCCATGGCCGTCTTGCGGTACATGCCATCCCTGTCGCGTCGTGCTCTTTTGCACCCATTGGGTAACATGGCGAGGCTCCTTTGCCCATCTCGCCCATCCAGCCCACGCCAGCCTGCCGAACGTGCTCCTATCATCTCTATCTTGCATGGCCCGAAGCATCTAGTCCGCCTCGAGCCACTCGTCTGGCTAGGCTTGGGGGCGAAGACCTCCATTCACTGCTCAATACGGGGGAGACAGGTACTCGATTCTCCACGTTGGTTGACCCTGGACCGCTGCTTCAAGTCCCACCCAGCTTTCGAGAGATGGAGTTCAGGCGGAACAATGGCCTGTTGCTTATGCTGCGCTGCCTTTGCACGACAGCCTCTCCTACCTTGTACAAATCGCCTAGCCGAATGCTGGGCGGTGGCCTGTCTATATGTATATGATTATGGCACACGGGAGTCAGTGGTACAACCGTTGCCGCCTTGTATCTTTTATCTTCTCTTCCCTCCCTCTCCTCCAATTCCTGGGCTTATACTTGCTCCATCTGTCCCACCATTTTTTTATTCCTTTGCCTGCTTGCTTAGCCATTTGGTCGTTGATGGCGGAACCGTAGTACCTGGCTTGTTTAAATCGCTCGTGAGTAATCGTCTTAAGAATGCCGCATATCTTGTCACAAAGTAGAGCAATGCTAAATTATCGAACTCGGGCATAGTATCTAGACGTCGCATTTCTCTTAGAACCGTCCCTCTAATATTCCTCGCCCAGCCAAGACCACAGAGCTCAGCTATGGCTGCGGACTCCTTCGTAGGCAGGGCTCGTTCCCACAAACAAACCGATCTCGAAAGATTCGGCTATAGTTCCTCGAGCGATTCGGACGACGCTGCACGTAAGACAAGTACAACCACCAGCGGCACAACGAATCAAAAGAAGAAGAAGAAGAAGAAGCCACCGCAACAAAGCATCAATAGAATTTGGCGGCGATTCACTAGCAAGCAATCATCGAAGGCCCTCTCAGTGTTACCATTTGATCCCGTGCCACTTCCGAGCATCATTGAGGCTCCAAATGAGGCCATCAACACTGGGTATGAGAAGGCAAGAGATGAGTGTTCGAGGAGAGTGAAGAAAATCATCCAAGAATGTAAACGAGTGAACACGCGTTACCGGGACCCGAACTTCGACTTGGTAGGTTCCAGGACTCTCTTCGATCTTGATACGCATATGTTCATGACACAAAACTAATTCTGCCCATTCGTAGGACTGGGATCTCAAGATGGGGAGAGGCAATTGCCTCAACTTTTTGGGATCTAGTAGGTTCGATATGTCTAATACTAAATATAGCACAACCACCACTGTCCCTAAATGCGTGAAGCGAGTGCGCGAGATTTTTGAGAAGCCAACCTTCCTCAAAGATATAGATGGCGCAGACATCAAGCAGGGCGGGCTCGGAAATTGTTGGTTCATTGCTAGCCTGAGCGCTCTTGCGAATGTCGAAGACGCCGTGAAACGCGTCTGCGTCGAGTATGATACACGTATGTGAAGAATCCCCTTGCTAGCGGCGACGCTTGATGCTTACCATATGGAATAGGCATTGGTATCTATGGCTTTGTCTTTTTCCGCGACGGCGAATGGATTTACTCCATCGTTGACGACAAGCTTTATCTGACCTCGCCAAACTGGGACAATCCAAGTATGCAGCGTGACCTGCTCAACCAGATCGATCGTGAAAGTCCGGAGAAGGATTATCGCAAAACATACCAGACTGGTTCTAAGGCACTGTTCTTCGGCCAATGCAAGAACCAGAATGAAACCTGGGTCGCATTAATCGAAAAGGCTTACGCAAAAGCGCATGGTGATTTTGGCTCTCTCGCCGGCGGATGGATTGGAGAAGGCTTAGAAGACCTGACTGGGGGTGTGACTACTGAGCTGCTTGCCACGGATATCCTAGACCTTGACGAATTCTGGGAAAATGAGATGAGTAAAGTGAACCAAGAGTTCTTCTTCGGTTGTTCTACGGGTCTGTTAGATGGAGGTTATGGTTATCGCGAAGGCATTCGTGAAGGCCATGCTTATGTTGTCATGGACGC